CCCTATGAACAGCAGAACGAAACACCGCCCGGTCCTGCACCAGCTCCACGATCCCCACTATACTTGAGCCCATAGCCACAGCCACTGTGTCAATCCATCTCATTGAGGGCCTTCTTCTCTTTCGTCGACCCTCCACCTTACCAAGCGTGCCATCCTTCTCCAGGGAATGATCCCTTCTGTGTCACATGACCAAAGTAGGTGAGACGAAGTCTGGCCATTCTTGCTTCCAAGAAGCATTCTGGCTGCACTTCCTCCAGGACAGATCTGTTAGTTCTTTTACCAGTCCATGGTACTTTCAGCATTCTTCACCAGCACCACAACTCAAAAGCATCAATTCCTCTTCAGTCTTCCTTATCCATTGTCCAGCTCTCATATGTATATGGGGCGACTGAAAATATCATGGCTTGTGTCAGGCACACCTTAGTCTCAAGGAGACATCTTTGCTCTTCAGCACCTGAAAGAGGTCCTTTGCAGCCGATTTGCCCAGTGCTATATGTCATCTGATGTCCTAACTGCTGCTTCCATTGGTGGAAATCATAGAACCAAGCAATGTGAAGTCTTCGACAATTTCAATCTTCTCTCCATTAATCGTGATACTGTTTATAAGTCCAGTTGTGAGGATTTTTGTTTTCTTTATATTAAGATATAACCAATACTGCAGACTATAGTCTTCAATCTTCATTAATAAGTGCTTCAAGTCATCCTCACTTTCAGCAAGCAAAGTTGTGTCATCAGCGTTATCGCAGGTTGTTAATGATTCTTCCTCCAATCCTGATGCCACGTTCTTCTTCATATAGTCCATATTCTTGGATTATTTACTCAGCATACAGATTGAATAAGTATGGTGAAAAGATATAACCCTGACGCACTCCCTTCCCGATTTTAAACTATGCAGTATACCCTTGTTCTGTTTGAACAACAGCCTCCTGGTCTATGTACAGGTTCTGCATGAGCACAATTAAGTATTCTGGAATTCCCATTCTTCTCAATGTTATCCATAATTTGTTGTGATCGACACGATTAACCAGTTGACTCTGACTCTTGGTGACCCCACACTAGTCAGAGGAGAACTGTGCTCCATACGGTTTCTAATGGCTTATTTTTTGGGAAATAGATTGCCAGGTCTTTCTTTCAAGGCACTTCTGGGTGAACTCAAACTTCTAGTCTTTTAGTTAGCAGCTGAGCACTTTACCATTTGCACCACCCAGGGACTCCTCTGTAGAAAAGAACTATCATGAATAACAAGAATTCACTGTACTTTAAGTGTAAAGAATGCTGAAATCACTTAAAAGTTATTAACATTTTAATCAAAAACTATTTGACAGATTATAGTGTATGTGTATATAAGTGGAAATTATGCATGTAAGATTATGTATAGCTTACATCATAGTCAAAAGCCATTCTACCGTAGAACAGGTAGAGTAAGAGATGACAGATGCACACAGGATAGGATTTAGATGAAATCAGAATATTGAGAATATACCTTTGGACCTGCTACTAGAAAAAATAATCTCTAAGATTTTTTAAATGAATGAGAAGCAGAAAACTTAAATTCTCTTGATTTTTCTTTTTTAAATGCACTTTATTGAAATATAATTTATGTACAGTGAAATACACAAAACTAAAGTGACATGGGTCAATGCTTTTTTTTTTTTTTTGCAGTATTCCCTCCCCTCCCCTCCCCTCACACCCCTGGCAACCAACAAAGAAAGTTTCCCTCCATATATAAACCTTTCCTTGACCCTCCACAACAATGAACTAATACTATATTTGTCCTTCTGTGATTGACTTATGTCACTCAGCATATTGTCCTCCAGGTTCATCCATATTATGCGGTGTTTTGCAGACTCTACATTATTCTTTAGCATTGCATAGCATTCTATTATGTATACGTACCATAGTTTGGTCATTCACTCTCCCGCAATAAATCTTAGAGATAAGTCTCTTGCCAGATATGTAATTATCAGCAAATATGAATTTGTTGCTGTCATTTTTATTATGTGCTTTTTCACGGTGTTGATTTCTTTGTTCCATATAATTGTCTATGCTGAGCTCATTTTGTTTATGAATCGTGTTATCACTTCTGTCATTGCTATTGTTTTAATATTAGCTGAATATTTATGCTGGTCCTCTTTTTTGATGTGAAGGTTTAATCATTTTTCTTTGAGGTTACCCTGTGATTTATAGTTTTCTTCCCAAGTTTAGAACAGTACGTTCTATCTTGTAGTTGTCTTGACTTCCCTACCATCTAGAAGTTCTGTAACGACACAGTTTTTTCCCTCTTTTTGGTTTGTAGTTGTCCTCATTTGTCAGTTGGTGTCTCTGGTTCCCTGTTTACAATCTTGTAGGCTTATTTACTTTGGATACTTCCATAGCTGGGTTGGTTTCTGGGTTATATCATCATGTGTGTTAGTGGTCAGTTGTTGTTGGTGGTTGTTGCTTCTCTGTCCAAAGGGCTCCCTTTAGCATCTCTTGTAAGGTTGGTCTGGTTTTAACAAATTCCCTTAATTTCTGCTTGTCTGGAAATGTCCTAATTTCACCATCATATTTGAGGGACAATTTTGCTGGGTACATAATTCTTGGTTGGAAATTTTTCTCTTTCAGTGTTTTATATATACCATTCCATTGTCTTCTCGCTTACATGGTTTCTGTCGAGAAATCTGAGCTTAGTCTTACTGGTTTCCCCTTGTAGGTAACTTTTCGTTTTTCTCATGCTGCTCTCATGATTCTTTCTTTGTGTTTGGTTTTGGTAAGTTTGATGATGATATGTCTGGGTGATTTTCTTTTGGGGTCTATCCTGTCAGGGGTTCGTTGGACTTCCTGAATGGATATATTCTCATCTTTCATCATACCAGGAAAAGTCTCTTCCAACAAATCTTTGACAGTTTTCTCTGTGGTTTGATTTATGTCTTCCTGTTCTGGAATTCCCATTACATGTAGGTTATTCCTTTTGATAGTATCCCACATGAACCTTAGGCTTTCTTCATTTTGTTTTGATCTTTCTTCTGATTGATCCCTTTCCAAAGAAGTGTTCAGGTATTTGCCTTCAATCTCCCTAATTCTGTCTTCCATTGATTCAGTTCTGCTCCTTTCCCCATTCAATGCCTTCTCTATTTCTGAAAATTTAGTATTGATCTTCTGGATTTCTATGTGTAGATTTTGTATCATTTCTAATTTTTCATTTATTTTGTCATTTTTGTTCTTGTATTGTCTTTTGAAATTGTTCTAGGGTTTTCCTTAATCTGTCTCTCAATTCATTGAAGATACCTAAATATAACTCTTTTGAATCAGGGAGTTCCAATGATGCATCTTCCTCAAGGATGTGTTTTGAGTCTGTATCCTGGTCCCCTGTTTCTCCTGCTTTATCTTGCTTCTTTGTGTGGACTGTGATGCTCTGTTGTCTCCGAGGCATTGTGACATTTTTGTGTTTATATTTAATTGGTGATTGTATGTTGGAGTGACTTGCCCACAATTTTTGTTTCGTTTTGTTTGTATGTTATCTATGCAAGCAGGGTACTGTGCTCCTCTATTCGCTAGTTGACAGCACTTAATCACTCACCACCTGTCTCCTTTCCTGTTGTCAGCCATGGAATATCCCTGCCAACCTTGGCAAACTGAGCCTATTCTTATGTCCCTGAGCCTATTCTTATGAGAATGCTGTCACTTTAAAATCCAAAATGGTTGCCATTTGTAAAGATTCAAAATGGCTGGCCCTTGGTCACTCTAAATATCCAAAATGGCCACCACTTGTAAACATTCAAAATAGCTGCGGCCTCGGTCACTTTAAATATCCAAAACGGCTGCCACATGTAAACAATCAAAATGGCTGTACCCTCCGAACAGTGGAAAGTCAACAGCTCAGGCTATCTCCCTCCCTGCTGTTTCCCTTCCTAGTTACAGGCCACCAGTGCAGTCGTTCCTGGAGCTGTTGATCACCAGGGTTGATCTTTAGGCCTATTCTCAGGTCCCAACACCACTGGGAAATATTCAGGCTGTTGGTCCCATCACAGTAGCTGACAGTCCGCAGCTCCGACCGTCTCTGTACTCACTGCTTTCGTTCAGGTTTTTTACTACTTGGTGCCTAATCCACTTCTGCATAGTTCCTTTCAAAGCTCAGGGCTCTAAGATTATCATTTATGTATCTCTGTCAATTGGTTTTTGCTCAAGAGGGTCTGTGGCCCTTGTCTGCCTATCCCTCCATCTTACCGGTAGTCAATTCTTTTGATTTCTTAGCCTTAATTAGATACATAAAAATGGCTCACAAATTAAATATGAAAATATTTTTCTTACTAAAGATGGTTAAGTAATATCTTCCATTTGGGTTTAACTGTTCACATTCTTATTTTATTTTTCATGGAAAAGAAAACCGTGTTCTCTCCATACCAAAGACTGATTATAATCATTTATTCTAAGACATAGAACAAGGTATTAATCAGCTTTTATTCCTGTCTCTCCTGCTGTTTCTCTCTGAAGTGCTCTAAAAGGCATCTAGGTGAAACAAGAATAATCTATAAATAGAAAATATTTTAACTTTACCTTATTTTAAAAATAAGATCAACATTCATAAGGCATAAAGAAGAAAAACTATACATATTCTAGGTTCAGGTCAATTTAAAAATTACTGGGTTGAAAGACAACATAATCTTGTACAGAAATAGCAACTAATGTAACAGTTGTTTCATTTTCTCCTTTTCTCTTCTCTCCAAGACTAATTAGCATTATAAACAGTGTGTTCCCTGTTACAAATGTCTTCTTTCAGCTTTGGAACTACAGTATCTTTTGATAACCCAAAACTCTGATCTAGATTTTTCAATTATACAGAAGCCAAACACTTTCTAGCACTTTAGACTATATTAAAATAAAAAAAAAAAAAGTGACTTTAATAAAATAGAAACAAGTATCACAAATGGATGCTACATGTATACTATGCTTACTTTAGGAATCATCATCATTTTAAAGATAAACAGTTAAAAAAAAAGAGTACCTTTTTACATACTTACTGCTGAAAGGCTGCCATTGTATTCTCCAAATTTTCTCCAGCACCTGTGAAAATATTAAACTTCATTTACTTAGCTATTCTGAACTTACTCTCTTTCAGGAAATTCATATACCTAGCGAATCTTGGTGGAGCGCTGGTGGTATAGTGCCTAAGGCATCTGACTGCTAACCAGAAGGCTGGTGGTTCAAACTCACCAGCCACTCCTTGGAAGGAAGACTGGACATCTATCTACTTCCATAGAGATGTTGTTGTTGTTGTTAAGTGCCGTCGAGTCGTTTCCGACTCATAGCGACCCC